GTTCCTAGGTCAGTTTTAATAGTATAGAAAATTGAAATATTATGCATGTAAAAAACTCGAAAATTTGCATTTCTGCATAGATCTTATTGTTTGTTTCTCTACTCTGATTACAATACTGTCACTACACTCTAAGTGCAAAACATGTCATTGTAGAGAGGGTATGTTTTTACTCAGACCCTCCTGTAGAATGACAACGTAGTAAATCAAATCAGACCACGACCGTTTCCTTTCACGCTCTAGACGAAAATTTGTTCATTAATCTTCCTATCATCCCAAGCTGCATACTCGTACTTGCAGCATCGATTAGTAGACCATTAGTACAAGCACTAAGGACCGAGGTTCGATGGCCTGCAGAGGTAAGAGATGTTTCTCTCCTCCACACCGTCCAGACGGAACTGGGACTCGTCCACTCTCCGATCCAGTGGGCATGGGGGACTCCTTCCCCGAGGGCAAAGCGGCCGGGGAGTGAATCTGACCATTCACCTACATCTAGTGTTGAGACTAAGAATTGTGGAATTTTACCTCCATTCCCCAAGACATTCACTTAATTATTTAAGCATGGAGGAATTATATATTTACCATTACCTTTATGCATGAGGAAATAAATATTTATGAAGGATCGTACTATTAATAGTAACTGAACATCGCCACGTTTCGGAATGAATTCTTTAGTGGGAAGTATTTTGTTCAGCCTTGGTGCGGTCGGAGAAAATAGGGAAAATTGTCAGACGATTACTTACTTATTTACTTACTTACTTCTTAGCTCTACATTCCCCTGAGAATCTTGGCCTCCTTTACAACACATGCGCAGTCTTCTCTGTTTCTTTCATTTTTTTTCCTTCATCTGTCTCAAGCGATTAAGACCAGGTATAATAAAATTAAAATATACACACAAGTTCTGGTACAATAGGCCAGAAGTGGCCGCAGTACAAGGGACTTAGTCCCACCCCACTAACACTACACATATTTTCGACAGTGCAAGATTTTTTATTCTCCTCGGCGTCAAGACCGGCTCTGGGACACACTCCACCTCCTATTCAATGGAAACTGGGACTCTTTTCCAGGAGGTAACGCGGCAGGAGCGTGAGGCTGACCACTCACCTCCATGTAATGATGAAGTCAAGAATTGTGCAACTACATTTCTACTCCCCCATATGTCTTCATGACAGAGTGCTGAACTCATGAAGCACAGGGGGCAACTTTATCCTTTCTTTATGTGTGTAGTATATGTCAGAGGCTATCTGATAGAGAGATAAATCGTTAACAGGGATAGGGAATTTTATACTGAGACATGTAACAGGATATAATGGAAAATATCCCAGTGCTTCAAACATGGTTGGAGTATGAAAATTGCGCGGATTTAAGGGAAGCGTTAGAAATAAAAATGGCTTTGTTACAATAAATAAAAAATGCGAACCCCCACATTCTCCATTTAATTGCAATTTTACTCTTAACATTTTAAATCCAATTTGTATTTAAGTATGTTATTTAAAACTTTAATTACTTGTGTGTAAAATGGTAACACTTGGTCCATTGCTGTCAGTTTAATAATATGATAACCTGTGAAACAGGGAGAGAGCGGGAAGGAGGGAATACAATTTTTACCGTGAACAAATTAAACAAGTTCGAAATTTTTCCAAATTTCTTCAACGGATCTTCACAACAGACAAATATCACACAGGGTTACAGGACATTGATTTCCCTATACTGAACTAGCTCTTATTCTTTCATGAGCCGATTTGACAGTAGGACGTGTAAATCCACTGAGGACGACGAATCCTGTAATTACTAGTGAAATGTGGCCTACACAGATGGAAAACCAACGGGCAATCCAGATCACCGAACCTGTCAAACTTGACTTTTCCTTGTAGTTAACCATTAATGACAACACTCGTGTGACACTCCGCGGTTCTGGGAAGAACACTAATTCTAGTTCGAGTTCGAGACATGAATAGGCCTATTACAATTATCCCCTATCATTTATACGATATAAATTCGACAGTTTAAACAGCGCGCTATTTTTATGTTGTGCGTTATGTTGCGCATATAGATTTAGGGGTTCGGATGCAGCCACGCAACACCTTGATTCTGCTACATATAATAAGCATTTGAAATGAATATATCAAGAGATCGATCAATTTATTATACTCTATTATTACATTGTATTATTGTATTGTACTCGTATACTATTATATTATAATCAGTTATATATATTATATTATAACAAGTTCTAGTAGTCAGATTTTCTGGCTACAGATCTAGAGGTCCAGGTTCGATTCCACGCGCTACCAGATTTCTGAGAAGTAGTGGATCTGGAACGGGGGCCACTCAGCCTCGTGATGATAACTGAGGAGCTATTTCAGTTATATAACGGTTACGGTTTAGAAAACCGAGATTAACAGCCGTGAGGATCCTTTGCGTTGACCACGCGGCACCATCTATCCGCAAAAGTTGGCACTAACTTCGCCGACAAGCGGCGGTCGCTCGATCGGTATAGTTAGCTTGTGAACTACAGACCACGGAGTTTGTGTTGTTTGATTTGATTGATCTATAGATATATTCAATTAAATCGCTTTTTATATGTATCAGAATCAACTTGTGTGACGGCATAAAAACCGCTAAGCTATACAGCGTCCTTAAATTAGCTGAGAATCAATCAGTCAAGGAGAAATGGCACATCATCCAGCCCCTAAATATATATATATAGTTTCTTCTATCTGGGTTACTTTATGGTGGGGGTAGCAGATTATAAGTATTTCCATTAATTAGTATTTCTTCGTAAAACTGATGGAATTTTAGTGTCCGGGGGAGCAGAGAGTGCCGAACTGTCGTGTTCCCCTCGTCCGACGTAATCATTCTGTCCGGAAAATATCCGCTGCCCGCATTACACTTCTGCGCACCCTCCTACTATTGTCATAACAATTAAACGTGAAGCACCGTTAATCTGAATCACTCTCTCTCTCTCTCTCTCTCTCCATTTATCTTCGTCATCCTCGTCACTGCTATCCAAACTGATTATTAAATGTTCCATTACGTTCTCCAGTCTTCCAGCATTCTCGTCACATTCTCCTTCCATTGTCGTCATGTGACTGCTGTAACTTTGCCTAACTTCCGGTACGACTTGGTACGAACCTTGTAAGAAGAATCCTTGAAGCGTTCCCATACTAAAATCTGCCGGTAATTTTACCGATCTGATGTAATTTCTATAAGCATATCCAAACTCCCCCTCGTTGGTGTCTCCACCTTATCGTGGTGAGGGGGTTTGAGTATGCCAAGGACCCTGAGAGCTATACCAGCGGTAGCGTAGCTACTGGCAGGGCCTCCCTTGCTGGACAGGTCAAAGGGTAGGCATCAGACGAAGAGAGACACCAAAAACTGATGCCGGAAGCAGCGTCATCAGCAGCGACTTGAAGCACAGAGTAAATAATGCTCGAGATGGTTCAAGTTCGTATAGCAACAGGCGTGACCAGAGTGGTTTGAACGCCTATTGTACTGCGATGTGGAAAGCAAATGGAAAAACTACCACATTATCACTTTTCCTGGATAGTCTCTTTCCAAAACCAGAGATACCATGTATGCGAGATGTTTCATTTGAAGGAGAAAGCTCTAGATCGCATCAAGTGGAGGAACTGTTTTGGAAGAGACTGTGGACCTGTCGTCTTGACAGATTCCTGATGAATGAATGAATGAATCCAAACTCAATATAGGGCACGCGCTAGCATAGTCGGTTGAGGCATGCTACAAGCCGGAAGGTCACGGAATCTAATCCCGATGAGGTTATGGAATTTTTTCAATTTACCTAATCCTTCCAGCCGCACTATGGCCCTGGGGTCGACTGAGCCTCTAACAGAAATGAGTACCAGGAATATTCGAATGTTCTTTGGGGTAAAGGGAGACCGGTGCGTAGGGCTGACAGCCTTACCGCCATCTATGAGCCGATTGTCTAGAAAATGTGGGAGCCTCAACAACTCACAACCCTACGGGTCTCCACGGCCTGTTACAGGGATACCTTTACTTTTTTACTTTTTTTAACCAAAACTCATAAATCCTGTAAAAATTATATAT